CCATTCTGGGGTCTTTTTTTTTGTCCAAATCTGTGAATTTGTTTTGCTTATGCGATATCTCGAAAATACGTTATTTAAAATTTTCTATTTTTATCCATAATGTGTTAAAATTAATCAACATTTTAACAAGAACACCCTCGTTGATGCTAAAAGTTGCTGAAAAACATTCTTCATTTATTTAAGATAGAATAATCTATTATGACATGTTTTTAGATACGTTGTATTTATTTTCAATGTTTCTCGTTGAATTGTCCACCTATATTTCATATGATCCATTACTGTACATAATTAGATTACAATAAAATTTCCATTTTATATGAATTCTAAGTTATGCAAATTGAAATGTAGTAGAGTGGGAAGCCCGTGTCATAGATTCTGGAGACCCGTATCATAGGACTGTACAAATCCCTGCCTGATGATGACAAAAAACAAACAAAAAACAAAAGACTCATGACACAAGATAATAATGGAAAACATAACGACATGATTAAACATTAATTATGACAAATTGTATGGATGCCCGCAAGAGAAAAATGCCCAAGTTTGGAACCACTCTTCAAACAAATACGAAAGTTGAGATAGTTGGGAAGTCTTCTAACAGATGACAGAAAATGTGGCACTGAAATCCGAAGGTACCTGTGAATAGCAAAAGGATGTCTATTACATGGTTCGGACTGTTGTGCTAATATTTCTTGCCATATTCACGAAAGTTCGTTGTGCGTTGCAGTCTACTTCAGATGATTGGAATTTCGAACAGAACCCTTTATTGCATCGATAGTTACTAATTCCACGTGCCGTGCCTCTTTCTGATGATTCAGTTCTGTCTATTTAACTCAACTCTTTCGTTCACCACGGTAGTAGCCAGGAATCGAACTCACAACTATTTGGTTCAAGCCAGTCGACCCAACAAACGGTTTTATCCACTTGGCTATTAACCAGTTTTTTTTTTTTTTTTAACAGATCTCATATTACAAATTTTGTTGTTATTATTCCTCTAGTACTCCGTATTTCTGGTTCCCATATTGTATTAATTTCTATGCTTGGTCGGATTAGGAGATTTTTACAGCCTAGCATATGTGCTGATTCCTTCAGTTTTCGTATTTTCCAGTGATCTTCTGTGGTTATTATGTTTAACCATATCCCACAGGGTACGATGACCTCCCTCCCCACCCCATATGTGGACACCTACCCTTGATTTTTTCTATTTTCTCTCGTGTTAAGGCTTTACAATTTTCTTGCAGTCTTATCTTAAGGAGGCGGCCTGTTTTCTTTTTCCTTTACATTAATTATCACAGCTGCACGGGATGGGGACACACAGTAGTAATGTTCTCCTTCTTTCAGGGTGGGGTTATTCGCAGGCACCTTTTCTTAATATGACCTCTGGTAAAAAAATGAAACTGGGACAGTAAGTTTAAAAACCCATAAATTCCAACACTCATGTAGCTCAAAGTGTGGATAAAAACGTTGAACTGCTATATAATTTCAATCTTCCTATAAGGCAGTCAATAGCCTCAGATATGTGTACAAGATTAAGGTAACAGAAATAGTGTTCTATTGAAGGATGCAGAGAATAACGTGGACGGAGCATGCAAGTAACGGGGAAGATTTAAGGAGAATTCAAATAAAAACCTCTTAGAATAAAAAACGTCGACATTTCTGACATATAATGAGGAAAGAAAGCTTGTAAAACGTGACACGAACATGGCATATCGAAGTCTAAAGTAACAGGGGGAAACAGCGAGTAACCTACGTAACAAACAGCGAGTGTGGAGGGATATTAAAAAGACAAACCCCACTAAGAGCTGCAAAGGATAGGAAGTCGTGGAGAACCATAATCACCCATGTACTGAAGTCTAAAGGAACCGGTGGAAACAGCGAGTAACATATGTAACAAACTTGCGAAACGGATGACAGAACAGTGAGTGTGGAGGGATATTAAAAAAACAAACCCCCGCTAAGCCCAAAGGATAAAGTCGTGGAGAACTGCAAGATTAAAGGAACTAGCGAAACATCGAATAAATATATGAACCATAAACGGATGACAGAACAGTGATGGAGGATATTAAAAAACCCACTCTAAAGGAACCATAATCACCCAAACAACTAAAAGAAAAAATGAGTCAGTGGGTAACCCATACGTAACAAACTTGCAGAAACGGATGACAGAACAGATGAGGGATATTAAAAGACAAACCCTGCTAAGAGCTGTGGATAGGAAGTCGTGGAGAACCATAATCACCCATGTACTGAGGTCTAAAGGAACAGGGGGAAACAACGAGTAACCCCTGTAACAAACTTGCGTAAATAGATGACAGAACAGTGAGTGTGGAGGGATATTAAAAAAAGACTACCCCCGCTAAGATCTACAAAGGATAGGAAATCATGGAGAACAAAGGAGTCGTGGAGAACCATAATCACCGATGTACTCAAGGTCCGCGTCATATACAGGGTTAAAAGTGTGAATATAATTTATTGATTGCTCGAAGAAATGGTAAACAGAGAAAAAAAACTGGGACTAACAATGTCACTGTGTGAATTGGAATATCCTGCGCAGTGACTCAGACATTTGCAGACAACGAAGACTTATAGAGGTAGCTGGGCCCACCTCGACGTGGTGCTATGGTTAACAAGCTTGTCTGGCTTGAACAATTACGACTGAGAAATGAGTCAGGTTCTCACTAGGTGTCCTATACTTTCGGCGATATGTCTCATTTAAGCTTCGCTTAGAAAATCACAATATGCAGAAAGCTGGTCAAGTGCTCAGCTATCATGGGACTGCTAGTGATAATTATGATAATGGAGTTAGAAACATGGAAAACAAACTCGCGCATTCAATGGGAGAGTGGCATTTGATCAGCCAGATCTCTTTACGCTCAGGTATTTATTTCCCATCTTTTTCCTGGGGGATTTACCTGCAAATAATGTTGGACGAACAAGCCACAGACAAGAACTATGTCTCCCTGAATACTTTGATCGATAATTTCCTAAACACTTAAACGATCGGAATCATCAATTGATGTTTGAATGGAGATGAGCAGATATAATAAATTTATGATTTAATCTTTTTCCAATGATACGAGCATCATTCATTCACAATCCGAGTCTACTTGTCTTATCGGCATCATTAGGATTCACGAGGATTGTCAGCTCACGTCATTTCATGGACCATTTTCTTGCAAATAACATTGGGAGAATAAGTCTAAGACGGTGATAAGTCTGCATGCATACTTTTATCGTTACAATAATCTTATTAATATGAATAATGTTATAAAAATGCTAGACGTGAACGTTGTCTTGAATGGCCACTCCTCTAGGTGTTTTTGCGTTAACGCACCACCAACTCCTCTATCCTTGGATCTACGTTAGTCGTAATTTTTATCGACTATCTTCCCGATGGAATCAGTTATCTACTGAGTATATATAACGGGGAAAATATTTTCTACGCCTGTTTAATTGTAATTTCGATCCTTTCGATATTAGCAGCCTATCTAAAAATGTCCTGCAACCTGTTGTTATCTGGGGCAAGTACAGAATTCTTAATTTTAACACCTTCCAAACAAATCTGCTGTCTTTTATTCGTCTTACAGAACCATTTTTGCTTTCCGTTAACGTAGCTGATGCTAACCTTTATGTGAGTGGTACATTACGTCTTCTGCTGACATTAATTGCAAAGATTATATTAGATCAACCCCTAGGTCTGCTTCTAGGAAAGTTGATTCACTGTGTCGTTCAAGGCAATTTTTCTCGGCAGAATATATCTTACGCATTTATAAGTTTACCAGTCGTCCATGAAATGAATATTTCTGTCATATCTATTCTTGTTCTTCCCACATGTACTTGAAACTTGTTGATAAAATCCTACAAAGAATCTGAAATTCTATCGATGCTGACCCGGCATCTCAGTTTCAGTCAATATCCTCCTGCCGTAACGTAGTTTTCCTATGCATTGTTTTAATAAATATTCCCTTGGTAATTTTTATGATGAGATTTCCTCATTGGAACCTAGACTTTCTAAATTCAAGCGCTGTACTAGATTGGCGGGAAGGTCCCATCATTTTACAGTTGAAATGACTAGAGTTAACTGTAAGTACTATGTTAAAAGTTTCTTCTTGTTTGTTGAACTCTCCTTCGACATCTTGTTTTCAAAAATTCTCCAAAAATTAAAATTTAATGTCAATCGCTACCTTGTCTTCTGAATTAATAATCTTTTGTTGTCTCTATCTTTAATAATGTATTTTTTTTCTATTATTCTTTCAGATCAGTATCGAATTGCGTCTTAGTGGCTTTATTGCCTTGCTCAGGTGAAATGGTTGGGCAAAAAACAGTAAACCCTTAAATAAATGACACCATCAATTGATGTTTCCTTGTAGATCAGAGGATATTAGCTGATGATTTAAAAACTTTTTCCAATCATTATTTTCATGATTCGAGTCTAAATGACGAATTGGAAACTTAAAGATTCATGAAGTTGCGTCATTTCCTGCAAATGTCTTGCAAGTAATGGTGGAAGAACAAACCAAAGATAATGCTCCACTCTGCATGCATATTCTTGCAAAGAAAAGAAATGAAAAATGATAGCGCCGAGTACAAAATTCCGTTGTGTAAGGAATTCTTCAAGGAGTGTGGTACTGTTAAAAGTGTTATATTTAGAATCGTAATATTTGTTACGTTTTGCTTCTTTTTTTGCTTTCATAATTAAAAAAAAAAAAATTAGAATATTACTTTTTCCTTTTTTTTTCGTAGGATAATATGATACATAAAAATAATTATGTACCAGATTATATATTAGGTTGGTGCAAAAAATAATGACGTAAGAATGTCGTTTTTGACGTTAAAAATACGTCAAAAAACGACATTATTACGTCATTATTTTTGCACCAACGTAATACCAATTTTAGGCAAAATAACAACAAAATAAAAAAAAAAGTGTGACGTATTTCATCCATTGGAAACTCATTGGATTAAACTAATTTTACTCCAATACAAAAGATTCAGTGTATTACGGCCACATCACTTTGAAACACCGCTTCCTGTAATATCACCGAAGTTAAGCAACATTGAGCCGGGTCAGTACCTAGATGGGTGAACGCTTGGGAAATCGAGGTGCTATAATCCTGAATTTTGCATGTGTTGTAAGAAATAACCCTTCAGAATTGTTATTTGCAAGGCCAAATTCTAATTCTCGTTGTGTTCGTTGCTTTCTTTTTTTAAAGTGAGAGACACCCATGGCCCGGGGGCTACTCAAGGTAGAGGGTTACGTTAAGAGGCCATTTGTGTGTATAGGTGAGGGAGATAATAATTAACCCTAGCTTTGAATAAGACTGTAGTGATCTGGGAAACATCCTGTTGGGACTCGATTCCACAGGGCAGTGCCTCGGGGTAAGGAGCTGCTCGAGTGGAACTTACTTCTGACCGATGAAATACACAAGGATTGTGGGTGGTTTACTAATATGTAAGTGGCATGACGTATTGTTTACTCACCGTAAAGAAATACAAAAAAGAAATGTTACCAGAAGTACCGCTCACACCTTGTCTTTATCTAAGTAATATGTTTTGGGTCTTACGTTGTTTTATTTATTTTTTTATTTTATACCTGTTCAGCGGAAAATTTCGTAATGCTATTTCTGTCTTAGATCTCTGATTGGGACCCGGAAGGAAATGAGTATATAACAGAAATCAAAGGAAATAATAATAATAATAATAATAATAATAATAATAATAATAATAGACCAGAAACTGAATGATTCAAAATTGCTACTCAGGATCAATGCCCTCGAACCAGGACCTACCAATGTATTGTCTTGAAACATGACAGCAGCACATTCTGCTTTATATATGAAAGGCATCCGAATACAATTGACTACATAATATCTGTAGAGGATTGGCCACATTAGAGGAATTGAAACGACGTGATAAGGCGGTTCAGTACCTATATTGATGAATATGTAGAGTGTTCAACCTTCCTTACAAAAAAAAAATATAATCCGTGAGATGATGAGCCTACCATCGTCAGAAATTTCAGCGTTGAGGCAGCGAATTCCAGACAAATCTGCCAGACCTAATTGGGAAGAATCATGTTGAAAAATCTGATTGATGTTACCGAAAATGAAACATCTTTGAAAACGTTTGATAAACTAAGTAAATACAAGTACCGAGAGAGAAACATCAGCGGAATGCGGTATTGGAAGGCAACAACATTATCTCTTGTTATTAAAGCTTTCAGAATAATATCAAAAGGAACCTAGAGATATATGGACCAAATTCCTGGTCAACTTAAAATATATGAATTGAAAATATTTATATTTCCGGGGTTATCTCTCATAAATTGCTTAAATTTCTCTTTGTAAGATATATTGTTTTTTTTTCTCTTTGAAACAAAAAAAAAAAAATTCTTGCTGTTTCTGGTTGAGACTTGAGGCTATTTCTTTCTAAGCAAAATAAATGCAAATAATAATAATAATAATAATAATAATAATAATAACTGGTATGAACACCACCCAGACCCGGTTACGGAGATAGGACCTGTTACAATTTTATGGGACTACACAATACACACTGACAGAACAATCAAAGCCAACCGCCCAGACATTGTTATTAAAGACCACAAACAAAAAAAGTGCCTCTTTATTGATATGGCAGTCCCTACAGACTGCAATGTATCTTTGAAGATATTCAAAAGCTGTCAAAATACAAGGACGTTGAAATCGAAATCTCAAAAATGTAGCATATGGGAACATCAACAATCCCTGTTGTAGTTGGATCCCTAGGATTGGTTGGAAAAGATTGCAGTAGACTAATTGAAGGGATTCCTAGAAGAAAAGAAAAGAAATACAAAAAGTTGTTCTCACAAGTACAGCCCACACTGTACGAATGGCTTTATCTATGTGAAATATATATATATATATATATATATATATATATATATATATATATATATATATATTATCAGTGGAAAGTGTCATGATGCCATTTCTAACCTGAGGTCTCTGGCCGGGACCCAGAAAGAAATGGAATCAAAGGAAATAAAATAATAATAAATAATAATAATAATAATAATAATAATAATAATAATAATAATGAAATACCGGAGACTACAGAATACTGGATGTTGATATGTTTTAAAAAACATGTAAGTAGTAAGCGAATTTATTTAATAATATAGGAAGCCAACAATTTCAAAATGGAATTTTCAAATGTGTGAAGAAATACAAGTAAAGCACGATACACCGACTGAAGCTGCGAATTACTTAAAAAAAAAGAAAGCAAAAGCAAATGAAACCTACAAGATACAGAAACGGTCAATACTCTGCCCGTACCAAACAAGTTGATATAAAAAAACCCCGGTAGCCATCAATGGCTACGTAGAGCAGGGAAGAAAGCTGAAACCGACCATTTATTTTTGCTTGCTAACTAGAAATTATCAAGCACACATACAGAAATTTGTGCTTACCCAAAATGCAAATTATAATAAAAAGTTAACCATCTTCTATCAGGTTGCACGATATTGGTACCCAGTGAATATAAAACACGACAGTGTGGACCAATATCTCCACTGAAAAATCTGCAACTTCCACAGAAAAGGAACTGCAAGAAATTGGTATGAACACCATCCAAATCCGGTTACGGAGAGAAGATCTGTAACAACTTTATGTGACTTCACAATACACACAGAGAGGACAATAAATGCTAATCGCCCTGACATCGTTATTTGAGACACAAACAAAAAAAGTGGCTTCTTATTTATATGGCAGTCCATGCAGACTGTAGTGCATCTTGGAAGATCTTCAAAAAGTATCAAAATACGAGGACTTTAAATTCGAAAGCTCAAAAATGTGGCACATGAGAACATCAACAATTCCCGTTGTAGTTTGAGCCCTCGGATTGATTGGAAATTATTCCAATATAGTCAATGAAAGGATCTCTTGTAACCCATGCCTTCAAGAAATACAAAAAATTGTTCTCACGGGTACAGATCACACCTTACGAAGGGCTTTATCTATGTAAAATATGTGTAATTTTTTTCAAAATTGCTCCGGGTAAAATGACATGATGGGACTACACAATACACACTGACAGAACAATCAAGGCCAACCGGCCAGATATTGCTATTAAAGACCACAAACAAAAACGATGCCTCCTTATTGATATGGCAGTCCCTGCTAACTGCAATGTATCTTTGAAGATATTCAAAAAGTTGTCAAAGTCCAAGGACCTTGAAATAGAAATCTCGAAAATGTGGCATATGGGAACATCAACAATCCCTGTTGTAGTTGGAGCCCTAGGACTGGTTGGAAAAGATTGCAGTAGACTAATTGAAGGGATTCCTGGAAGTCCATGCCTTCAGGAGATACAAAAAATATTCTGACAAGTACAGCCCACACTTTACGAAGGGATTTATCTATGTAATTTATTTATTTTTTTTATTTTTTTTTGTCAGTGGAAAGTGTCATGACGCCATTTCTAACCTTAGGTCCCTGGGCGGGACCCGGAAAGAAATGTGTAAACGCCAGAAACCAAAGAAAATAAAAACAATAATAATAATGATAATAATAATAAGTATATTAAGTATAAAACTTTTTAAAAAATACAAAAAATACAAGTCTCTTGTGAAAAACCTTTATACAGGTAATCATTCTAAAACTCTGAATTCAAACGACCTGTTGCCCTGTAGATTCTGCGTCTTTTGGCAGAGCCTAGAAGAATTTAATTTCATAAATGGAATCCACCTCGTGTCGAAGAAAGGAATAAGCTCCGAACTTACTTCGAGCCACGACTGAAAATAAAGGATTCCACAGGATTAAAACAATGGTTCGAACAAACACACGACTGGGACACAGCTCGTCACCATAGACCTCAATGATTTCGAACCATTCACCTATGGGAGTATCACTCTGGTCGCTTTCGACGACGACGACTAGTAATCAACGCGTCAATGCGAATGAAACTCAGCCAGTGTGAATGGAATGCAACTGAAACGTGATTAACATGATTGGGATTGAATTATTATTTACCAAGAGGAATTATTCAACAACCATTGTAGAATGATTATCCAAAACGTACATGACACCAACGGTCATTGGGCTCTGGAAAGGTGGAAGATCTATACCAGCAAAATTATCCAAATCGTGTAAAGAGCATAGGATAATTGACCATCCCACAAAATGCATAATATCTTAAAAAAAAAATAAACTAATTTTCCAGGTTTCAGAGGTTTAGCCATCTTGATAACATTTTGAAAGAGTCTTTCACTTATTCAACTAGAAAACGAACATGTTAAAACCATTTTGTGTCAGCCCAACTATGTTTTCCCAACTGAGCAATGGTAAAATAAAAGAGAAAATTCAGGCCTTCTGTAATGCTACCAAAATTCATACTCTGGCTTCCATCTTCAAAGTTCATCCAAGAACCATAAAGAGAACTGTGAATAAGTTTAAAAAGAGGCAACAGTAGAGAGGAAAACTGGAACACAACAGCAAGAGGGATCATCATTTTAACTTAGAGTTAAATGCACTCTTATTGTTTAAAGTAGAGTACAATAAATAGTGTTACAAAAACCTCGGAGAATCCCAGTAAGATATCTTTAATTATTTCTAAGATAAACGGTTCAATTCTTAATCTAACATTTGGACAATTTTGCTGTTACACGATTTGGACATTGTAAAAATAAGTATACATTAATAAAAAAAACAAAAAAAAAAAAACAAAACGTGCTCACAAAAGGAATTGTATTGATTAATCAAACAGTTTAGTATTAAATTTATGATACTCTTCTGTCACTCTATTCATTCCGCCGGGATAGGACGTTATTAGTTTGCTTACATAACAATCCTCAAAGGTTTTTTAGGGCAACATATAGGTGGATTCAGTATATATTTGAAGAATGTACAACTTCATGTGTTCGTCAGAATTGCAGTCGTTTGTGATCAACTGTACTGCAAGCCCAGTTAATGTCATATTGTTGTGTAGGACATCATACCTGTAGTCATTAAATAAGCGAAAACATCATACCTGTAGTTATTAAATAAGGGAAGACATCGTACCTGTAGTCATTAAATAAGCGAAAACATCGTACCTGTAGTCATTAAAAAGGGAAAACATCATACGTGTATTC